CAAACCGCATGACATGGCATTGCATGATTATCACATTCAACATTTTGTCCATCACGCACTCAACCTATCAACACCCATCGGGCCCATCGCCTACAAGGGCCCACTGTCTAGATGACATAGCATCCATCGCATAGTTCAGATTTGCACCAATGACCACGAAGTAGACACCACATTTGCCTCACACTGGAACAACCCAGCAATGTAAAAACATCGGCCTTCCAACTTCCAACCCGATCATTGTGCCAGGTGCGGGCTGCATAATTGCAGAACCATATGGGTTATAAGGCTGCGTAGTAAGACGCAAACGCCCCACACATCCACAAACAGGCTGTAATGATCTCCAATGTCAATTTTTAAAAAAGTGAAATAGGACCGTACACTGTACTCCCAACATCTCCCAACCTGTCATTAAATCTTGGAAAACCATCTCTAAAACAAACGGTCAACTTCTGGTTTGATCTCCCGCAAGCCACAAAAACATCAGGCAAACATCCTCTTGTGTTCTTGTGCATTCTGAGCCTTCGGTACTCAGTGGCAACTCTAGCCGCTAGCCGCTAGCCGAGGTGCTGATCTGAAAAATGCAAGTAAGGAACAAAACCTCAGTAGACTTTCAGAATGAGAGCAGTTTCTGAAGTCCAAATCATCGAAGCATGGAAGGGTCATTCACACAATCTAAGCAAGTGGCAGCTCGTCTTCCACGATATCCAAAGCACTCCTTCGAGTAGAAATTGAGTAGAAAACTGACGCTTCTTGCAGGTGGACACGAACAATCGTATTGTTCTGGACCCATGAGTGCACCCAGCTCACAATTTTTGCAACAGCTGCCCTCCCTCTCATCCGCACATTTGACGCTACAAACGCATTCAGAACAAGGGCTGTCCTGAACAACGTCTCCTTATTCAAGTTGTCGGGAGATGTTCATGAAATATGTATACATGCATACAATATCATACCATACCATAACGTTGCATTACTTTACATTTACATTTACATTTATATTTACATTTACATTACATTACATTACATTAATTACATATTTACACACATATGTATATATATATATGTATGTATGTATGTATGTATGCATGTATGTATGTATGTGTATGTATGTGTATGTATGTGTATGTATGTGTATGTATGTGTATGTATGTGTATGTATGTGTCTGTATGTGTATGTATGTGTATGTATGTGTATGTATGTGTATGTATGTGTATGTATGTGTATGTATGTGTATGTATGTGTATGTATGTGTATGTATGTGTATGTATGTGTATGTATGTGTATGTATGTGTATGTATGTGTATGTATGTGTATGTATGCGTATGTATGTATGTGTATGTATGTGTATGTATGTGTATGTATGTGTATGTATGTGTATGTATGTGTATGTATGTGTATGTATGTGTATGTATGTGTATGTATGCGTATGTATGTGTATGTATGTGTATGTATGTGTATGTATGTGTATGTATGTGTATGTATGTGTATGTATGTGTATGTATGTGTATGTATGTGTATGTATGTGTATGTATGTGTATGTATGTGTAGGTATGTGTATGTATGTGTATGTATGTGTATGTATGTGTATGTATGTGTATGTATGTGTATGTATGTGTATGTATGTGTATGTATGTGTCTGTATGTGTGTTTTTGGGTATGTTTGTGTATGTATGTGTATGTATGTGTATGTGTATGTATATGTATGTGTATGTATGTGTATGTATGTGTGTGTATGTGTATGTATCTGTATGTATGTGTATGTATGTGTATGTATGTGTATGTATGCGTATGTATGTTTATGCAGTCGGATCTTTTACCGGCCCACAAATTCGACATTTTTGTTACATGTCATCTTAAACCTCTTGGGGTGGGGGTTAGGCGGGGTGGGGTGGGGCATGTCAACGTTCGCTTGCACTTGAAGTTGATGCTACGTAACGCATGGGGTTGGGTGGTGTGGGGTGGGGCATGTCAACGTTCGTTTGCACTTGCGTCATGAAGTTGATGCTATGTCAGGCATGGGGTTGGGGTTGGGTGGGGTGGGGTGGGGCATGTTAACGTTCGCTTGCACTTCCGTCATGAAGTTGATGCTACGTCACGCATTGGGTTGGGGTTGGGTGGGGTGGGGCATGTTAACGTTCGCTTGCACTTGCGTCATGAAGTTGATGCTACGTCACGCATGGGGTTGGGGTTGGGTGGGGTGGGGTGGGCCATGTTAACGTTCGCTTGCACTACAGATACGTAGAGGCATATATAGATTCTTACCTGTAGACTACATATGTATACATACACCGATATTGCGATCATACATATGGACACATATATAGATATGATACATTTGTAAATATATAGATATGATACCTGCTGGCCAAAACGGGCCTCTACCTGGCAAAGCTGTGAGCTGAAAAAAGGAAAACCGAACTCGGCACGTTTTTGACCACAAAATGCTGGAAGGGTTGACGAAAGCATCTTGCGATGAACTTTTTTTAAGAAACTTTTTTGGACCCAGAATGTGCGTTTGGCTAGCACGAGAACGACGTTTTTGAGAAATCATGGGACGGTGAAAGATCCGTCGGGATGTTTATGTATGTGTATGTATGTGTATGTATGTTGCGAATCGGGGATTGCCTACCCGATTATGTTCCAATGGTTGATGTTGAGGATAAATGTTCCAGTTCGACGACGTCACACGGGCAGCTGCTTCCGCATTGCTGATCTTTTCTCCAGTGCTGCAGTGGGTCTTGAGCCAAAGAGGCCAGTTCGGATTGCCCCTTTGGTGCTGGATCACAGAGTGTTTAGTTGTGATATTATACTTGATCCGTAGCCTACACTCTATTCGCACCCCCCACGCATAGCCAACTTTGTTGGCTACGCGCAAAGGAGTGTTCTTTGAATTGATCCACTACACTCGCAGCTGTTCATTTATTGAATTATGGAGAGCTAAAGTCCGTTCAGAACTTCATATCTACATGGCGGCTTGCTACGATCTCTACCAAAAAATGAAGGTTCTGTTCACGTGCATGTAGACACGACGTAGTCGGTGTCTAGCATTGAGGTTCATCCAATGTGGCGTAGCCAGCATGGAGTCTCACTCAAGCATGTGAATTAAAGAAATCAAAACACAAAGTTGACTATGGAACTAGAAGTTTACCTTCCCGTCCCTTCGTCGGTTGAGACGTAGACCGCTGTAGAAACTCAGCGTTTCATGCAATGATGTTCAAAAAAAAATGTGTGGTTCAAAATTAGCCGGCTCAGAGTCCTCTCAGAAATCATTCAAAATGAAGTAGAGGTAAATCTCGAGCAATGATTGCATCCTCGCATCGCCAGGTTCAATCAGGACCTATGCAGAGGTCAGATCGCTTAATCATCTATATCCCCATCCATAGTATCCCTGTTGGTTCCAGTCTCCGCCACGGTGTGAATAAGATCTTCCACCTTTTCCTTGGTCTTTTCCACCCTTCTTCGACGACGTCACACGGGCAGCTGCTTCCGCATTGCTGATCTTTTCTCCAGTGCTGCAGTGGGGTCTTGAGCCAAAGAGGCCAGTTCGGATTGCCCCCTTTGGTGCTGGATCACAGAGTGTTTAGTTGTGATATTATACTTGATCCGTAGCCTACACTCTATTCGCACCCCCCACGCATAGCCAACTTTGTTGGCTACGCGCAAAGGAGTGTTCTTTGAATTGATCCACTACACTCGCAGCTGTTCATTTATTGAATTATGGAGAGCTAAAGTCCGTTCAGAACTTCATATCTACATGGCGGCTTGTTACAATCTCTACCAAAAAAATGAAGGTTCTGTTCACGTGCATGTAGACACGACGTAGTCGGTGTCTAGCATTGAGGTTCATCCAATGTGGCGTAGCCAGCATGGAGTCTCACTCAAGCATGTGAATTAAAGAAATCAAAACACAAAGTTGACTATGGAACTAGAAGTTTACCTTCCCGTCCCTTCGTCGGTTGAGACGTAGACCGCTGTAGAAACTCAGCGTTTCATGCAATGATGTTCAAAAAAAAATGTGTGGTTCAAAATTAGCCGGCTCAGAGTCCTCTCAGAAATCATTCAAAATGAAGTAGAGGTAAATCTCGAGCAATGATTGCATCCTCGCATCGCCAGGTTCAATCAGGACCTATGCAGAGGTCAGATCGCTTAATCATCTATATCCCCACCCATAGTATCCCTGTTGGTTCCAGTCTCCGCCACGGTGTGAATAAGATTTTCCACCTTTTCCTTGGTCTTTTCCACCCTTCTTTGGCGGGGTCACTGGAGCTTGTTTTGGCGGAGGAGCGGTTTCAACTGTTCTCCATGTCGCTGACGATGATGCTTTCGCTTTCGACACTCTTCCCAGTGCTGGTGCAGCTTTCGGGGCTGCTTTCGATTTGCCAGCGGCTGGATTGGTACGTTCACGATCAGCAGGAGTCGGGGTATCAGCAATCGCAAGTATGTGAGCTTCAGACAAGTGGATGCCCCACCTTGGTCGTTGATCTTCCCGTTGCTTGATGTGATTGTAGTCATCGATCGCATCATATAGCTTTTGGAGTAGAGGTCGCGGCAATTGTCGGCCATTCTGAAGGATCAGGTGTAAAAGTGAAATTCTTCGAAGTGGTGGACGAAGAGCACACACAATGTCAACTGGATTCAGTGTGATTGTGTCTTGAAAGTCAACGTTCCTGAAGAAATAAACAGCATTCACCCTATATGCACCTGCAATGATTCTTCTGACCATGACGTCTTGTCGGTCAAGGGCGTCGCGGGCCGCTGTGGTCTTTCTCATCTCATCCATTGTGGTGTCACGTTTCGACAGCTTCTCCATCTCCTCATCAAAGAATATGTTTTGCAAGTCATCATACGTGTAGCCACATTCAAGGGTATATATGAGAAGTCTTTTGAGTACCACTGCCCCATAGTATGCATTGACGAATCCCTCTTCTCCGATGTCGTCCTTTTGATTTGGTCGGCCGATCTCTTTGTAGAGCTCTTTCATCTGTTGTGCAGTTGGTTCAATGAGTTCACCATTTTCATCCTCGCCCAGGTAAGGTGTTCTTGAGTCCAGGTCCATCCTGAATTTCTGGTTCTGTTGAAAATGTTTCCATGCCGTCTCGATGTCTCCAGGAGGCTCGTCAATCGGAGTTCCTGGTTCGTACTCGCCGCCCTCAGGTGGTTCTTCTTCTTCTTCTCCTGGGGTTGCTGAATGTTTCTGCCGGTTCATTGCTCTTTTCTTCTTCTTCACCTTGAGCTTCTTGACATATCGGGAACAGTTGTGATCCTCAGTTGATGTCTCAAGACCACTTTCTCCATCGAGATGTACTCTTCGTGAGGGTTGACCAACATCATCAATGTCGTTGAAATCATTGACTCCGATTTGAGGATGTATCAATAGGTCATGGATCTTTGATGCATGATGACATTCATGAGGAGTGCATTCGTAAGTTCCAAGATCAACGTAGGGGATGTTGTCATGGATTGTCAAATCGATGCGTTCTCCATTCTTCGTAATCATGAAAGGCATTTGACCAGATGGCCATACAAAGGAATATCCTTCTTCCATGCATCGTTTCCCAAGAGACATCACGGACGGAGTGTCGTCCAGTACATAGGCATGAGAGGTCACATCAAAGGTTCCCAGGTCAATCTCTGCTTCTGTCTGAGTAGCAGTTGAACCGTTGGCTGTGTGGAACATGATAGGATCACAAGTTCGCTGCTTCAAGTTCATCCTTTCGGCTTTCCTTGCAGAAATCAGATCATGCCCGCTGCCAGAATCCAGGATGAATCTACGATCTTTGGCTTGCACTGGTAGTGAAATGCACATCATGTTCTTGGACTTCATGAGGGAGTTTCCAACTTCGTGTTCAACAAGCTCTTCAATAAAAGTCAAGTCATCACGATCATTGTCCAGTTTGATCAACATGTCGAACTTGGGGCCAATAATGATTCTAACTTCATCAACAAAACGATGGAGTCCACATCTGTCCATGATGATAGCCTTGGCCCGTGCTCGGACTGAACCGAGGGTGTTGTCGGACTTGGACTGATCGTCGGTCAAATCATCGACTTTCCAGAAAACATATTGCTTGTTGGGGTCACGATACATACGTTTGGGTAGTCCCTCCTGGTAGTCCTCAATGGCGATCTCGTGCACCTCAGGTTCCAGATCAAATGAGATCCTGCGATCATCAGAAGACTTCTTTGCACTGGCTATCCTCGGTGAGGTATAATCCATAGAATCTTCATTGTCGCTATCAAAGAAGGAATCAATGGTAATGGGAGTCGCCTTCTTCTTTGGTGTCTTCTTGCTGGTTCTCTCTGAGGATGCTGAAGGCGATTTATCTGCATGTAGGAATTTACATGTGTTTCCGAACTTGCAGGTACCTTCTTGCCAATTCCAACATACCTTCTTTTTGGGTCCAGCTGAAGATGAACTTCCTCTACCTTTCCCTCTTGATGAATCTCGACTTCCGCTTCTGCCTTTCTTACCTTTCATCTTGGCATCATAGACCTTCTGAGAGTGACTCTGACTGTAAAGACATTTGTCACCTTTGTTGCATCCTCCTTTATTGAAGAAGTAGTTACAGAAAATCTTCTTCTTGTCAACGGGTGAAGATGATCTTCCCTTCCCACCTTTGCCTTTCTTGTTGTTCTTGTCGGCATGGGATTTCGGAGAAGGTGTAGGAAGTACCGATGCAGCTTCACTCTTCGCTTTCGCCTTAGGACGTTTGGGAGGATCACCTGTATACGGTGCAGCCGCTTCATTCTCCTTCTTGGTCTTGACGGGAGCGGCAGGCTTGTCTGCATCTTCTAAGGCAGGTGTCGTCTTGTTAGAGGACAATGACAGTTTCACTGCACGTTCTCTATCTTTCAACAGTCGTTCTTGCTTCCCTCGTGCTATGTATCCCTTGATCATACCAGTTAGGTAAGCATAGGTCTTCTCATGATGCCCTTCATCAAAGGTTTTGTATCGGTTGATATCGAAGGCCATAAGTTTTGAATGTTCAATCTTCCGGAACAATGTGTCACGCAGGGAATTGTTGGAAGGCAGATCATCATGTTTCATATTGTATACGATGTCAAGCCACTTGTTGTAGAAGGCCTCAAGTTGGTCATCTCCATAGTAGTTGAACATATACAAATGATGGGCATTGTAGAGAACTTCAGTGTGGTCAGGTGACTTGAAGCTAATCAATATCATTGCAAATAGTTCTCGTCCCTTGATGAAGTCCCCACTTCTCCCATACAATTGGTTCTTCATGGACATGTCATACTTCACTTGCATGGACTTGTCCCCAGCATTGTCAATGACTTTCCTCAAGGCATTGGAGAGCTTGGCATCAATGGATTGGAATCTCACATCAGGAGCTTTGGCCAGCGCCTCCAAGTCAGGTTGATCTGCAAGACACGGAGCTAACCACGCCTTCCAATCTTCATAGTTTCGATCTCCACTTGCAACGCAAACTTCATGAACGACACTTCCCTTCCAGGATGAAAGTTCAGTGGTCTTAGGCCAGGGTTGGAGGCTGATCTTTTCGGCTTCTCTTAGAGATACAGATGACTTGGATCTATCCCTTTCAAGGTTCTCCAACTCCTTGACATTTGTGTTGTACTCGTTCCTGAGCTTCTCGAAGGCTTCAGCTTCTGCTCGGTATTCCTGCTCTTCATCATTGGCACGATCTTCAGCTTGAGAGAAATTGTTCTTATAGTAATCTTTACGATCTTCCATCTTCTTCAACTCATCTTGAAGATTTCGAACTTCAGCGTTCCTCTCTTGCTTCATCTCGTCCAACTCTGCTTTCAGTTTGGCACACTTCTCTTCACATTCATTCCGAGGCATGGCATTACTGGGGTACCCATGTAATGTAGTCGGTCTATTCATTGATGAAGAAGAATGAGCTTGGTTTTCCAACTTCAGGGCAGCAATGGTGCTCGACATTTCTTCTACCTCAGCGTAACGCTCATTGGCCAATTGATGCATCTCGGTCAAATGGCTTTCAGGAATGGAATAGTCAGTCGCACCTTTGATCACGAGTCTTCTGTCGTTCAACATCTTGATGGACTTACCTGCATCCCTGTGAGCACGCTCAAGAGAGTCCTTTTGGGCTTCAAGTTCAGTATGAAGGCGAGCAATAGCTGTGTCCCTGTCATTGATTTCATTGTGCAAACTGTCGAACAAGTTACTCGTCACATTCGGATTGTTGCTCATGTGATCGATCTTGTTCAGAGCATCTTGATATTTCTTACCAGTTTCATCAAAGTTTCGCTGGAAGACTTTGAGCAGGTCCTCAGTGTCAATGAGTTCAGATCTATTCTGCAAGTACAACTTGTCAACTTCGGCCTTGGATTCTTTCAAGCTGTCACGTTCACGCACGGCTTGCATGTACATCTCGTATAGAGGTCCTCCATGCGGTGATCTGCTTGGTGAAGATCTTCTGGCTTGTTGACAGGAAAGTTCATGATACTGATTCTTCGATTCAGTCAGTTGCTGTTGCATTCGATCTAAAAGACTTTGTTTCATGTGTAGTTCAGAACGTAGTCCCATTATCCTCATGTCCCGCATGCCACCTGATTCAGCTAGAGATTCTTCAGAAACCCTGTTCTCAGAAATCGCTAGTCGAGATTGTAAGTTCTCACTGTGGGTCACCTGTAATCGAAGCTGTGATTCTTCCAAAGCTAAGTGATGTTCACATTCTGCATAACGGTCATGTTCAGATCTTATGTTACTACGGAACTCCTTCATGATCTCGTCCCTCTTCATGTCAGCAGCATCTAACTCAGTTTCCAGTCGCCTGACATTCATGGCCATGGTGTGTTTCATCGTCTGGTTCTGATTGGCAACCTCGAGCATCTCGATCTGCAAAGCACATGTGTGGTCATTAGCATAGCCGACTGCTAGAGCTTCTTGCTTGGCATTCATCTCTGCGTTTTCCAGTTCCAGTCTGAGTTGATTGATGTGAGCATTCGCGTCAGTTCCCACATGTACCATAATTGCGTTTGCTTGTCCCATTTGTTCATCGAATTCCGAACGTAGTCGTGAATATTTGAATTCCAAATGAGATGCAGCTTCATTCGACATAGTCTGATACCTTTCCAACTCTTCGATCCTGTAGGTCGCACCTTCATCTTCCTGTTGTGCAGCCTGTAACTCGAAGTTCAGCATCTGGAGTTGTTCGGTCATCGACATCATCTCTTGATGAGTGGTGCTTTCCAGGAAATTAAATTGTTGATAGGCATATGCTGTCGTCTCACTCAATCTTGCCTGAAGTACAGATTCTTCTTCAGTGGCCCTTTCCAGTGATGTTTTGTACTCAGTTAATTCACTCTGATAGGCAGTGAAGATGTCGCTATCACTTGACGGGGCATTCACTTGCTGATAAGATCCTGTCCCTGATGGAGTAGCGTCCTGAATCGGTGAAGGCGGATTCGACGACGCAGTCTTTGCCTTAGTCCTTGGAGTCATCGGAGGCGACAATTGTCGTGCAGATGATCTTCTCTTTCCAGGTGTGCTGTCCCTATCTTCAATTGCTTGCATTGTCGAAATTTGTCTCCCTCTAGGAGCAACCAGATGTTGCCTGGGTTGGCTTGTTCTCAGTTCTGAGGCATCGCTTCCACCAGTGTCGATACTCTGTGAAGAATTTGACTGCGTGCCGGCAGCTGGTGCAACGGCATGTCCAGAGAAAGAAAATGCATTATCGCTGCTATCCTGTTCAGTCATCTGTAAGGCCCGCGGCTCCCCGCTCGTAGGCTCCGTAGGAGTCCTACGGCTGATAACCTGCGAATCGGGGATTGCCTACCCGATTATGTTCCAATGGTTGATGTTGAGGATAAATGTTCCAGTTCGACGACGTCACACGGGCAGCTGCTTCCGCATTGCTGATCTTTTCTCCAGTGCTGCAGTGGGTCTTGAGCCAAAGAGGCCAGTTCGGATTGCCCCTTTGGTGCTGGATCACAGAGTGTTTAGTTGTGATATTATACTTGATCCGTAGCCTACACTCTATTCGCATATGTGTATGTATTTGTATGTATGTGTATGTATGTATGTGTATGTATGTAGGTATGTATGTAGGTATGTATGTAGGTATGTAGGTATGTAGGTATGTAGGTGTGTAGGTATGTAGGTATGTAGGTATGTATGTCTGTATGTATGTATGTATGTCTGTATGTATGTATGCATGTATAATCGGTACAATATATATAGTTACTCTGGGCTGGCGTAGTATGGAAAGCTTCCATAGCAATAGTGAATCAAAGTCAAAGTTTTGTGGCGGATTCTTAGTCTAACCCTGTGAAAACTCAATCCGAGTCGTATCCTGTGTAATTCTGAGGTGCAGGCCAATGTTCTTGGGATGATGCCCAGCATCCGCCAAAAGATCAATTGCTTGGTCAACCTTGGAAAGTCTCTACGGCTGTCCCATCAATTAGTTTCAATTCACCTGCTCTCAGGTGAAGACCATGCACGCAGCTTGGTAGGAGACAAACCCGGCCAACAACACCATGGCTGGGCCTAAAGCCTCAGGATTTGCAGCGGGAACAACTGACAATGCTTGAGGCCGCGAGGATCGATACCCTGATGCAACGTCTCAGCTGGCTGCGTAATTGCTTTAAATCTTAGAAAGTATGATTCAATAGTATCAAATTCGACCGTGCCACTCTGAGCGTCCTTTAAGTCAGGGGACCTTGCATTGGGGGCTTTGACAAATTTTAGTGTCAAGTTTGAGGACAGCAACCATACAATTACAATGCCACGTTGCATCATGAACCAAGCTAGAAACCCACCCATTGTTCGCCACCATGCGTGGCAAACTCAGCACGCTGGCTCCCACCATGCAAGTCCTCAGTGCCGCGGTATGCCACAGATGCTACGGTATGCCACAGTCCGTGGACTGAGCCTTTGCAGTCAATTCTGTGTGGAGCTAGGGCTTTCGCACCAAATTGGATGAGGCAGCCCACACGGTGATCTTGGAGCGTTCCTGCTCTGCAATTAAATGATATCCCATTATCATTAGCGGTTTGGATTCAAGAATGCAAAATTGATCAAAACTGCAAAGCAGCTATCCAGTTTTGCATCGGTTTGCCCTAAAGTCCAGGCTGTCGGTACAACTATGAACCAATCTGTGCCTCCATTTCGCCGTGGTGATGTGCCTGGCACAGCGCAGTGTCGCTGCATCCCACTGACAAAAATGGTTGAGATCGCTCTGCTCCACCGTTCCATCTGAGAATGAAACATGTCCATGTCCAGCAACTAGGTGTGATTCCTCGTTGTCATCATCGCCTGGTGCCGCATACATGGCTCCTTGAAACTTCCGTGGCTTTAGGCGGCTGTGTAATGAAGCGACTTTCGTCTCAGCGTTCCTATGTCAACGACTCTCAGAGGGCTACGAAATGACTAGCACAAAAAATCACAATCTGGGCTCTCAATACAGGTATATACATGTATATACGTGTATATATCTATCTATACACCGTGTGCAAGCCAGGGTTTGCTTCCAAACAAAACAAGCTAGCCGGTTTCTGCCGCTCAACCACTGATAAGCCTCAGGATCACTAAGCCTCCCACTGTCAGGATCCGCAACTATAGTAACATGATCCTGGTCGAAGGTGAATGAATTCCTTTCTGTCTTGGCAAGGCGGCCGAAAGGCCAAAGCTAGTGAAGGTAGTTACCTCTGGGGCTATGCATGAACTCACCAGAGAAAATTGCCCAATAAAGAAATGGGGTTGTCTCTCAAAATGGGGTATACCCCTCATAATGTGAAAAATGCTGATAAATGGCATACCATGTCATACCATGGCATACCATCTATTATCAGACCCAAATGGACATGACGTAACTGGCCTGCTTCTCAGCACGGAGCTTTCGTCGAGGATGTGACAGCCGAGGGTAGCTGCGCTCAGAGGGCACCACATCAATGGTATCCTGGCGGTGGCAGCAAGCCTTCCCTATAAATGGGGATATACAGTAATAAGGATATAATTATCCATAATGATCCATAATGGGTTTTGGGTGGTTTTGGATGCTTTAGATGTGTCAGTTCTCGAAAACATCAGGAAAGCAATGATCGTGAATGCACTTTACATGCGAGTCGATCGCCTCTAATGCCAGGGGTGCTGGAAGCAGCAGCTCATGAAGGAATGAAGGAGGCTTTGTCAACCTTGTGATGGCCTTGCTATGGCCTTGTAAAGATTGGGAGTTTCTTTGCAAATGGAAACCATCATGCGAATATATTAGGTTCTGCCCTTTGCCTGCCAAGTTCGCATCAAGCTATATATATATATCATATATTATCATATAGACATATTATATGTAGAGAGGGAGGCAGAGAGAGAGAGAGAGAAGATAAAAGAGAAGGAGAGTAAGTAGAGAGTGTCCCACGTGATCCGGCGAGACAAATCTAGGATTTATACAGGGTAGGGTCCTCCTCGTCCTCTTCAAGAGAGTGCTCACGTGACAAGACCTCCTGCAAGGTTTGACCACTGGTCATCTTTGGTTACAGTACTCACAGAGACAACTGGAAGTTGGTCAAATTCCTCTCAAGAGGCCTGGGATGTCGGTTCACACCAAACCATTCTGTATCATTCCCTGTCATTCCCTGCTGATGAGCGGCATGTTCCATCATTTTCCATCATTTTCCATCATTTTCCAATTTCCTGCAGGAACTTAAGCTGTGAAAATATGCTCGTCTCAATCCCAAGTAGGGCTCCTCATGGCCTATGACTTCAGGAGCCACCTGGTGAAGCCAAGGCTGGTCACTGGGCACAACTCAATGGAAGAAATGCATAGATTTTACATGGATACAAATGGAACATGAAAATCATGAAACATTTAAATAACAAAATAATAACAAATAACATCAAGAAACATTTCCAGTGCTGAATGACCCCAGTTGGTTACCACAAAGCTGTGTATTGGTTACTGTTTGATCATGCTCACATGTCATGCTGAAGACTGCTGTGGCACGAAATTGCATGGCACTTTCCCTGCCTCCATCGAAGAGCTTTCTACTTTGCAGTCAAAAATAAGGCTGTGACTGAGTGACTTTGCGAATGGAATGTTGACGGGTGGCTACTCTACTGCTGCATGCTCATCATGTCATGACTCATGACCAAGAGGCTGGGGCTTGGAGGTGGAGGGTGGCACGCTAGGAACTTCTAGGGGGTGGCTGTCAGTTGCAACCCATCATTCCAGAGCAGTCGCTCAAAACAGTCGATGGCAGCAAGAAAGTCAAATAGCTACGGTTATCTAAACTGCTCTGGATCATCATTGTACTAATTTTATCTAATTTTGATCCGCTTTGATCCATGTTGATTTATCTTCTCCAATTCTGAATTCGTCTGAGTAGTAAGGGCCCATGATGGCTAATTTATTCTCCACGTGGCGCTTGAACAAAGAGGGTTGGTCCGGCGCATTAGGCAGTGCGATGCCGATCTGTCGCTCAAAACATACACATGGACCTTGAGTTCATAAAAACCTTCCGTCAAGGACTCTATCAAAATATATTAAAATGAGCGTCAAGAAACTCAACACGTCAAACACGTCTTGTTCATTTGTTTTGTCCTACCCTGCCCAGAAGTTGCCTCTCTAGTGATCGGTCTTGATGACCGCAACATCCTGAAAGCACCTTCTCCGGTCCTGATATCCCATGATATCCCATCATAACCGTTGGGTTGCCTTAATATCCTTAATCCACCTTTCATGGAATATGCTTTTGGATGCTTTTGGATGCCTTGGGTGTATTATATACATTATCATTATATAATCTTTAAAGAAACTTTTTGGGTAGCCCTGGCAACAGGACCGTCTCAATCTTATTGAATGCTCGAACAGTTTCCACACGGCAACTAAAACAGGGGAAGAACTGACCGGTTCGCTGCATAACTTCCAAATTGTGCATTTGAATGGTATTCATAGGGCTGTAGTTGGCGAGGGGCTCACTTTGGGCATAAATTCGGGCTCACTTAGGGCATAAATTTTCGAGGTTCACTTTGGGCATAAAATGGGCTCACTTTGGGCATATGTGGCTCACTTAGGGCATATCTGGGCTCACTTAGGGCATATCTGGGCTCACTTCAGGCATATCCGGGCTCACTTCAGGCATAAATGCACTCACTTTCAGCAAAAAAGGGCTCGACACCTTTAGGGTTTCTATGTTGTTGCACTTCATCTAAAAAGAGCCACGACACCTTTAGGGTTTATATGTTGTTGCACTTGATCTTAGAAGAGCCACGACATCTTTAGGGTTTATATGTTGTTGCACTCAATGTAAGAAGAGACACGACACCTTTAGGGTTTATATGTTGTTGCACTTAATGTAAGAGGGGCCACGACACCTTTAGGGTTTATATGTTGTTGCAGTTGATGTAAGAAGGGCCACGACACCTTTAGGGTTTATATGTTGTTGCACTCAATGTAAGAAGAGCCACGACACCTTTAGGGTTTATATGTTGTTGCACTTAATGTAAAAAGAGCCACGACACCTTTAGGGTTTATATGTTGTTGCATTTAATGTAAGAGGGGCCACGACACCTTTAGGGTTTATATGTTGTTGCAGTTGATGTAAGAAGGGCCACGACACCTTTAGGGTTTATATGTTGTTGCACTCAATGTAAGAAGAGCCACGACACCTTTAGGGTTTATATGTTGTTGCACTTAATGTAAAAAGAGCCACGACACCTTTAGGGTTTATATGTTGTTGCACTTAATCTTAGAAGGGCCACGACACCTTTAGGGTTTATATGTTGTTGCACTCATTGTAAGAAGAGCCACGACACCTTTAGGGTTTGTATGTTGCTGCACTTAATGTAAGAAGAGCCACGGCACCTTTAGGGTTTATATGTTGTTGCACTTAATGTAAGAAGAGCCACGACACCTTTAGGGTTTATATGTTGTTGCACGTAATGTAAGAAGAGCCACGACCCCTTTAGGGTGTATATGTTGTTGCACTTAATGTAAGAAGGGCCACGACACCTTTAGGGTTTATATGTTGTTGCACTCAATAAAAGAAGAGCCACGACACCTTTAGGGTTTATTTGTTGCTGCACTCAATGTAAGAAGAGCACGAAACCTTTAGGGTTTATATCTTGTTGCACTCAATGTAAGAAGAGCGCCGACACCTTTTAGGATTTATAAGTTGTCGCATTTAATCTTAGAAGGGCCACGACACCTTTAGGGTTTATTTGTTGCTGCACTCAATAAAAGAAGAGCCACGACACCTTTAGGGTTTATTTGTTGCTGCACTCAATGTAAGAAGAGCCACGACACCTTTAGGGTTTATATGTTGTTGCACTTAATGTAAGAAGAGCCACGACACCTTTAGGGTTTATATGTTGTTGCACGTAATGTAAGAAGAGCCACGACCCCTTTAGGGTGTATATGTTGTTGCACTTAATGTAAGAAGGGCCACGACACCTTTAGGGTTTATATGTTGTTGCACTTAATGTAAGAGGGGCCACGACACCTTTAGGGTTTATATGTTGTTGCACTTAATCTAAATAGGGCCACGACACCTTTAGGGTTTTTACGTTGTTGCACTTAATCTAAGAAGAGCCACGAAACCTTTATGGTTTATATCTTGTTGCACTCAATGTAAGAAGAGCCCCGACACCTTTAGGGTTTATATGTTGTTGCACTTAATGTAAGAAGGGCCACGACACCTTTGGGGTTTATATGTTGTTGCACTTAATGTAAGAAGGGCCACGACACCTTTAGGGTTTATATGTTGTTGCTTTTAATGTAAGAAGGGCCACGACCCCTTTAGGGTTTATATGTTGTTGCACTCAATGTAAGAAGAGCCTTGACACCTTTAGGGTTTATATGTTGTTGCACTCCATGTAAGAAGAGCCACGACACCTTTAGGGTTTATATGTTGTTGCACTTAATGTAAGAAGGGCCACGACCCCTGTAGGGTTTATATGTTGTTGCACTTAATCTAAGAAGGGCCACGACACCTTTAGGACTTATATGTTGTTGCACTTAATCTTAGAAGAGCCACGACCCTTCTAGGGTATATATGTTGTTGCACTTAATCTTAGAAGGGCCACGACACCTTTAGGGTTTATATGTTGTTGCACTCATTGTAAGAAGAGCCACGACACCTTTAGGGTTTGTATGTTGCTGCACTTAATGTAAGAAGGGCCACGACACCTTTAGGGTATATATGTTGTTGCAATTAATCTTAGAAGAGGCACGAAACCTTTAGGGTTTATATCTTGTTGCACTCAATGTAAGAAGAGCGCCGACACCTTTTAGGATTTATAAGTTGTCGCATTTAATCTTAGAAGGGCCACGACACCTTTAGGGTTTATTTGTTGCTGCACTCAATAAAAGAAGAGCCACGACACCTTTAGGGTTTATTTGTTGCTGCACTCAATGTAAGAAGAGCCACGACACCTTTAGGGTTTATTTGTTGCTGCACTCAATGTAAGAAGAGCCACGACACCTTTAGGGTTTATATGTTGTTGCACTTAATGTAAGAAGAGCCACGACACCTTTAGGGTTTATATGTTGTTGCACGTAATGTAAGAAGAGACACGACCCCTTTAGGGTGTATATGTTGTTGCACGTAATGTAAGAAGAGCCACGACCCCTTTAGGGTGTATATGTTGTTGCACTTAATCTAAATAGGGCCACGACACCTTTAGGGTTTTTACGTTGTTGCACTTAATCTAAGAAGAGCCACGAAACCTTTAGGGTTTATATCTTGTTGCACTCAATGTAAGAAGAGCCTTGACACCTTTAGGGTTTATATGTTGTTGCACTTAATGTAAGAAGGGCCACGACACCTTTAGGGTTTATATGTTGTTGCACTTAATGTAAGAAGGGCCACGACACCTTTAGGGTTTATATGTTGTTGCTTTTAATGTAAGAAGGGCCACGACCCCTTTAGGGTTTATATGTTGTTGCAGTTGATGTAAGAAGAGGACATGGGGTGGGTTGAGGGGACATGGGGTTACGGGGCTGGGACATGGGGTGGGTTTAGGGGAGCAGCATCCTGGAATGAGACCTGGGACATGGGGTGGGTTTAGGGGAGCAGCATCCTGGAATGAGACCTTTAGAATAACACTTGGGGACTCGGGGCTGGGACATGCGGTCTGATTCAACAAGAAATGCATGCTCAGCCAACAGGAAATGCATGCTCAGCCTGTGATTCAATGACAATGTTCTTTAGGAGTATCTCTAATGCACATGCACAAGCCTCTTGAGGCCATGTTCAAATACATCGATATATCTTGTTTTTCTTTACTTGTAAGTAACTTGCAAGACGTTCCTGATACGTTGTTAACTCTTCTTGCAGTGATTTGTCAGATGTTCCTGATACGTTGACACACCTTCTTCAAGTGACTTGCAACACCTTCCTTAGACGTTGTAAAAATCTTCTGCAAGTACCTTGCAAGACGGTCCTGGCACGTTAACACTTATCACATATTGTTCAAGTAAATTGAATGATGTTCCTGGTATGTTGTAACCTCTTCGTCAAATAACTTGGCAGACGTTCCTGATACGTTGCAACATCTTCCTACTTGTCAGTAACTTGCAAGACGTTCCTGAGCTATTGACATACATTGCTATCTTACATATACTACCCCACCCAGGCACCCAGTAGCATACCATGAAGTGAAGGATACACGCCCAGCACATTACAAAATTGACGACTGAAACTGCTGTCTTCGAGTAATCCCCACCGTGGACACCCCATCTGACATAGAACATTGTGGCATTCTATCTGACATTCCAATTACCATTCAGACTGACATATGCTATTGCATTGTCATACCCCACAAGCGCAACATCATTCGTCACCGCGCGAACATACATACCAGGCACCCGACCGCAGACAGACATGCGCCGTACTAAGTGAACGAAACATAACATCCGGGCACCCAAGCAGACCCAGCTGAGTTGCATTTACATGCGCCTTATATCAGCTCAAGTAATCAGACACGAGGAGCACAGTTACTTTTAGATACGCCAGAACGAAACGTTAAGGCATCACAGCATGAAGTGAACGAGACGCTATATGCTGACTTGCCCTTTGGCACCTGGTATTACTTGCTCGCTCTTGGGCTGCGCCTGCCACAGTGCCTGTGGAACAACTTTAAGCCCGAAGCGAGACCAAAATTACGCCCGGAGCGAGACCAAATTTACGCCCGAAGCGAGCCAAAATTTACGCCCGAAGCGAACCCCCGCCCGGCTGTAGTTCCTGTGTTCATAGTATGTCTGCTGTTTTGTCTACCACCTAGGAAGGTTGAAGACAAATTGCCCTTTGGGCAAATTTTGGGGTGTTACTATTTTGGCCTCACCCAATGGAGCGTTTTTCTTCACGTGCATAAGGTCCAATGGCAGCAAATGTAGCGCAGCGGGCAACTTGTCTGCCGAAAATTAATTTACATTGACATTCGGAGCATGCGAACTTTCTCACCGTCCAAGGTGACCGCAAGTAGCCTTCAGAGATATGTTTAAGGGTCACAGCCCGTCCGAGTCACAACTTTGATGATATGAAGCAAACACGGCAACGCCCAGCGGCTTAGCGGTCACCAATTCAACGCCAGGTCTGGGAGAATCGATTGAATCTCGGACATATTGGGACGTTCAGCTTCGGATTCCCAGATTCTCTGAAAACACCAGCACCCGACTGCGTGCAGCCTGTGCCCGCGGAGTCAAACAATGCGTTCACTTTCTGACCCTGTCGTCTTCCTGTGTAATAGTGTCGTTTGCCTTTGCCTAGAGGGCCTAGATGCATTTTAAATCATTGTAACATGTTTAACATGTTTAACCCATTCACATCACAAGTTCACCACTGCGGCTCTAACCGTCCAAGAGGCCTCAAAGGCTTCGGATGTGCGGCGGAGTTCCTAGCAAAAGTTCAGACTCCTCGCGCCGTGGGATGGGCTGGGCGCTTCGAAGTCCTTCTGGCATGTTTCTCTTCGATCGGGCACAAGATTAAACACACACATGCACGACATGCACACACACACACATATATATATATACATATTGTATTGCCAAAAATTGTCGAAAATACATATATATATATGTATATATATATGTACATATATACTGGAGCGCTTGGCCCAGAGAAATTCAAGTCCTCTTGCAAAGACCTGGCCTATCATGGCCTGCTATGGTCCCTGCATGAGGCAAGTGACAAACATCTGTAAGCAGCTTTGAGCATCTCAAGTTTCAGAAGTCCTTAAATTGCAAGTAGGTCAGATGAACATAATATCTGTTTGGATCTATGTTGATCTTTGATATATTTTGTACATCCATTGCCACTATACATTTACATATGTAGGCTGCCTAGAAGTGTGCAGTTTGAACATGATTGCACGGCATTTTTGCCGATTGTACATACATATGATGTATAATATGCATATATTTAATTACATATCATATGTGTTTTTTTATAATTATATATGTACAGTACATGTATATTTGTGCATATAGATATACATATATATATACACATACACACACACACACACATACACCCATACGCCAAAGTCCTTGCAATGTTTGCGTTTGACAGCTATTCCCAATCAAAACGCTCGCCACGACCCCTGTCCCGGCACAGACTTTGCAAAACCCCTTTCCCCATTGGAAACGCTAGCTTTAACAAGCCTTGGCCAAACTATCATTGTTCTTTTTGTTTTTGATCGAATCCCATCGGAACGCCGGTTTCCAACGGGCCTTTTTTCGTGGGCACTGTTGACGCCCACAAACAAAAACGCGAAGCAGGCCCTTTTCCTAGTTTGTATACTGCAGGATGGGTTCTGATAAAGGAAAAAAAACGAGGTCCAAAACGAGGTCAAAACGAGGTACGGAAAAAGCCCCGCATCTACACACATGGACTTTGGCCTGCAAGCCGCAAACCTGCCCTTCCTTGGATCACTGGTAGCGAAACAATGACAATTTGCAGAATCCCAGCACACCGCCATGGCAGTGTAGAGATGATAATCCCAGCGTTGT